TGACATTCCTTCACCTTGCCTTTTTCACCCCCGTGGAGTTTTCTTGATTCTGTGTGCGAAGCAACCTGACCCCTTTGAAGTACTGAGGCCAACAACGCATGGAAAGTATCGAAGGAAGCGGTTTGTTCCTCCCTTAGCTTTTGCTCCATCGTCGTCACCTTCACCTGACTCTGCTCAACGCGGCAAAACTTTTCTTTTCTCTGTTTATGTTTATGACTGGCAAACCCTCTTCCTGGAAGCAACCCAACCTGACCCCATACACCCTCGACACAAGTAGTATGGACTGACTCGACTTGATTGTCGAGGGGCCACAGGGAAGCTAACCAATAGACACAAACGCACCGGACGCCGAACTTTGGACCGCTTGCTTTCATATGGATTCTACGTAACCCCCCCCGGCTCCTCAAAATCATCTCCGCTTGCAGGAAGCTCGGAGAGATTTCTGGGCTGCTCTGATGTAGTCAACTCCTGCGGCATATCTTGCTGGGCCCGCTTCACAATGCTGGGCAGAACGATGCCTTGAAAATCTTCGTCATGAGGGGAGCATGCTCTGCACGGACCTGAGCCTGATACAGGGCGCCAGCTTGCCCAGTCGACAGCCTCCCTCCCAGCTGGCGCATGGGGCATTTTCCAGACAAGAAGGCTTGCAAGCACAGCAGGTGAGACTCAAATAAGCTAGCCAGCAAGCATCTTCGTTTGCGGGGCGATCAATACTTGATGCTTCCTGGTAATGCGTCAGGCATGGCAAAGTGGAGCATACTCAGCACCCATTCGCGCAGTCAACATTCACAACCTGTGAAGGTTGCACCAGCAAAACATGTTTGAGGTCTCTCTCACACGAGACGAGTTCTCCTTGCAACTGCAGGCATTGAAGTGACTTTTTCTCAACTCTTCATCGAGCCGCCAGTTCCAGACTTCAAAGGTCCATGTCAGAGGGGCTCGCTTTATGCGGACCTCTGAGCCTATTGCGTACCAAGTCCAGGACAGTCGTGGAGATCTTACAGAGTCCACGTGTCCCAGAGTACGTGCAGGCAGCGTGTAGCCGAACAAAATATTGCGTGTCCTTGGCACATCAAAAAATGCAAGTCAAGCACTCTCGCCAATTTGAGCGAAATGGACTCTGTATCATGAGGTGCGAATTCGTGGTGGAACCTGCTGCTGAGCACATCTCGTGGACAGCTCTGGATCCACTGGAAACGGTACATCTATGGCCCATCTTCTGGTGAGATGAGCAGTTAAACTGTCATTTTACAGCATTTTGGCGCAATACTCACTCCGGTCGTTCACCGAGCTGCACGCTCACATCCATTGAGGAGTCCGTGGCTGGCTGGACTGGGTCGACAGGTGTCACAATTGGTTCGCGCATGGTCTTGCGATGTTTCACTATCCGCATGGCTGCGCAGCTAGCAGCACTGATGGCACCAAGCAAGGCACCAATGGAGACGGAAAGCATCAAAGGACTGGTTTCCTGGTCATATGGGAGCTCTTGTTCATCCCAGCTCGTCACATCACCAAGGTCGATGCCTTGGCCGGTGCTTGCTAGTGATCTGCCATCAGCACGCACCTTTGGTGCAATCTGCTGTGGCTCACCAACTACTGCCTGAAATCCACCCGCTGGTAACGAAATCACGCCTTGCAGGCGTTTCATGAGCAGCCCATTCATTCTTTGAGTTGCCAGGCTCCCACGGTGCAAAGCTATCAGCCTGGCCTCGACCCTGTCTAGGAAAGCCTGTGAGTACTTTGGATGGAGGGCTAGACTCACATCCGGCAACACCTCAAAGTTGACCACCAAGCAGGCACCGTCTGGCAGCGAGTTGCCCGGGTCCAAGCGCATGGCGGCTTGGCAAGTCAGCATTTGGCCCTTTGTTAGTCTCACCTGATCTTGGGACACTGCTGGCAAGCTGTCCGCCAGCACGGAGACAAGCGCTTTCCTTGCCTCAAGACTTGGCGGCACAAAAGTGGTGCCTGTGCTTGATGTGCTGGTGCCCAGGATACCTGGTATGGTCACTGATCCCATGACCCTTCTGTCGCTCAGAAATTGAGCTGACAAAGACTTCTTCTCCTCTGCTTCTGCTTGCTCTGCCTTCGGTTCCGTCCAGAGAAGCTGCACCTCGTTCCAGGCTGGCACGCGTGGTCTGCGCAACCACGGCTCGAAATCTGGCGTGTCAGCCGCCAGCCATCGCCCTTCATGTTCCACCTCATCATCCTCGTCATATGCGTCCTCAAACTGAAGGAAAACGCCCTCGTCCATCTCTAGGTCGTCATACACGCTGACAACAAGCAAGTTGCGCAGCGATGTCTTGACAATGATGTGGAACTCATACGCGACAACCTCATCCGCAGCCGCAGCCACCAGTCCCAAAAGTTTCTCCTTCGTCGTGCCATTGACAAAGTAAATTGCATATGACAGGATTCCTGTTGGATTTGCTGCAGGGGTGATCCTGATGCTACCCTTGACTTGGCCCTTTGCTGGATCCTCATCTCCAGTAAAAGAAGCATTGGTGGGCAAGCTTCTGACAATATCCACCAGGGGCACTGCAACAGCGTGGCCCGGTCCATTCTTGTTGCCTGGTGTGACTACTACCTGCGCTGCATCAGATGGAAGCCGAACATTTTCAACAGTCACTTTCATCAAGGCGGAGCAGTTCTCCGGCTCTGGCAACGTCCACTGGAAACCATCGACTGCCATACCCTCGGAATTTGCGAGATAAACCTTGTAGTAGGTCACGCTGCCTTTGCACTTCAAGGGTGGCAAGAACTTGATGATGCCTTCAATGAAGTACTGCTGCACGTCCATGTCGACAAAGCCCAACTGACGTGGCTTCAGTGCAGTCGAGGGTGGCATTGTGGCCGAGTCGAAGTCGGAAAGCTCCCCCTCTGAGATGTCTGCACCCTCCGTGTCGGTGTATGCAGACACGACTTGAACATGCCAACTTGGCGGCTCGATGGATGGCAGTGAGTACTCGGCCATGGAGCCTGTCTGCACCAGCTCCAGAGACCAGCCGCTCTCGACTTCGGACCGATCACTCGACCACGTGATTCTTTGTGGACCGCTCTCCAGATCAAACCGCATTGGCAACACGAGCCGCGTTCCCGACAGCTGCTGCCCGCCAATCTCCAAGTAGTCATAATACTTCTCGGTCCTGAAGCTCGTAAGCCACACTGTCGCAGGGCCGCTGAAGCTGACGACAGCCATCTCATTGTTGTCATATGCTCCACGGTGAAATGTGTAGGTATTGCCGCTGATGTTGCTGTCAAGAAGGGAGCAATCTCCTTCACAAGATGGTGTCTTGAATCCATTTGCAGGCACCTTTCCCAGAAAGGACTGGGCTTCATCCTTCCAGTACAGGTTGTAGTGAGTGACAGTGCTTTCTGACTGGGCACGTTTGAACTGGATTTGGCCCGCCACGTACCCTACGCGCCCGTCCACATCACCTGCCCAAACAACCTCGCCTGCTCCGAACTTTGGCACCCCGTAATCCTTTATCTCCACAACAGCTGCCTTCGAGGGTCCAGCTTTGGCGCTGCGGTTTGCAGCAACCACTGCAAGTCCAGTGACATACTTTGGTATCGTCACGTTGCTGAGTGTGATGTCCAGTGTAGCTGCACCAGATGCGTTTGCCCTGCCAATCCGTTCCATCAAGAAGCCTGCAACGGAAATGAAGTGCAGGCTGTAGTAGTCAATGTCACTCTCATCCGCAGCTGCGGTAATTTGAGCTGTCCCACCTATTCGCCCGACTTCAGGGTCAGTGTCTGCAAAGGCAAGACCCTGGGGCTGATTTGTGGGTGGATAGAGGGCTTCGTACGAGGCAGCCAGCATCAAAGCCCGTCTGGCGTTGATGCGACCCTCTGTCAGGCTGCTGTTCTTCAGCGCGTCCCCCTTTGTCGTGGAGTCCATTAGGATGCGCTTCACTTGGGGCATAGTTAGCTGAGGACGGTGCAGCCAAATCAATGCAGCGAGGCCACTGACATGTGGTGTGGCCATGGATGTTCCGCTCAAGGAGGCATACTTCTTGTTGGGAATCGTGGAATAGATGCTGCTGCCTGGTGCAGCCAAGTCTACCGTTGTTTTCCCGTAGCACGAGAAGGATGACAAAGAGCCCGTCTTCGTGGTAGAGGCTACAGACACAATGTTTGCCGTAGGATAGTTGGAAGGGTAATGAGGAAACTCGTCGTTGTCGGATCCCTCATTACCAGCAGCGGCAACGAACAGCATGCCAGCCATTTCAGCACGCTCGATGGCCACCTTAGCGCACACAGAATTAGCTGATGAAAACGGTTCTGTGTACATGATGCAAGCAAAGGCAGGATCAAACAGCACCAGCAGCATCTGGGACCCTACCCGGAAGAGTCTGGAAAGCTAGGCGTCAGGCTCGCATTGCTGAAGAAGAGCCACCACCTCCCCAAGAATTGCTGGACAGCTTGGCACCCATCGCGACGGCGTAGTTCAGGCACTTGATGGCATCTGACGTGCGTCCACCACCAGATGCAGACAGAAATTTCATGGCCATCAGTCGAACTCCCCGCCATGCCACACCAGCAACTCCAATGCTGTTGTTCCCATTGCCTGTGCCAGAAACTATTCAGCTTCAATCCTTGTGGATTCAAGTACCAAGGAAATTCCTATGGAGCATACTCTTTCTACAGCAACACACCCCAGAATCAAGTAGCACACAGGCTCCGTGCAAGCTTCGTCTTAAGACTCTAGATCACATTAATTTTGAAAACTAATATTTTGCAGTGCTTGCTATAGGAAATGAGCCAATATTCACATCTGCCTTGCACTACCACGTTAGGCTTACCTGTGCTAGTGTGCCTGCAATGGTGCCCGCGCAATGCGTTCCATGCATCTGATCGTCCATGGGATCCCCGTCGTTGTTCGCGAAATCTGCTCCATGGATATCGTCCACAATGCCATTACCATCATCATCGATGCCATTGTCAGGTATCTCGTTCGGATTGATCCACATCTGATCTTTGAGGTCTGGGTGCGTGTAGTCAATACCAGTGTCAATGACAGCAACCACAAGCCCTTCTGGGGGCGGTTCATGAGCGATCTTCCAAGCCTCCGCGGCGTCAATGTCCCGGTCGCCATAGTGATGCAAACCCCAAAGCTTCTCCAAGGACTTGTCATTTGGGATGACTGTGTCCCTGCCATGCGTGAAAGTAACATTGAACTTTTCCCAGTCATCAATTTCATCCCTGTCAGCCGACAGCACTCCCCACGAAGGATGCTCTGCAGCCACAAACTTGTCAGCATGCTTACTTCTGAGCGTAAGAGTCCCGTCTTTGTTGTAAACGAACTTGAACTTTTCAAAGTCATCTGCCCATAAATGTCCGCGGTGCCACGATGCCAGTCTACCAGACGGAGTTGCAACCACATATGTTCCGTGCTGGGTCTTCAAAGAATTGTAACCGTCACTGTGGGGGACCACGAAGAAGTGGGTATCTCCATGGAGATTGTCTGGATAGAAGCCGACTCCTCCCCATCGCATTGCAGCCATGAAGCCGCCATGCCAGCTCTGCAAAGAAATTGTACTAAGACCATGCTCTGGGTGTCTAGGCAGCGGAGAAGCATCATCATTGCAGCATCCTAGACGAAGTCCATCAGGTGTGGGGCAACACAAGCCCCGGAGTCCCATTGCACTACATTGAGGATTCGCAGAGCAAAAGCGCTCCGGACGCTTTTCTACATGTTCCTCATCAACGTGGAGCCAGGTGTCCGGCACTGCAACTTCAACACCTTCTTGCTCCTGAAGTAGCTCCAGCATATCATCCTCCTGCACGTCTGAGGTACATGCAACCACGGCCATCTCCAGGCTCGGTAAGACTTCTGCTTTTCGAACACCTGCAAGATGCTGAAGCCGCTTCACACCTTAGCACTAGCACCACAAACACTTCACACGACTTGCCAACTGCTTTTCTCCACGTCAGGTCAAGCTCAGGCCACGACGATCATGTAAGGATGCAGCTGAACCAGACTCGTAGCGGAGGATGATACGGGGCTCATGGGTATCTTTCACACCAGGGGATTCCACAACGGCCTGCGCCAGGCCCTTCCCATAGAGGATCTGGAGGAAGAGAAAAAAGAACCCCATCGTCCCCATTGACTGCTACGTGCTACTAAACCTGGGACTCTCGTAGCCAACATGCTGGCAGAAAGCAGACGTGATGTAACAATCAAGCAGCAAACAAACGTGAGCGCGCAAACTCCAAAACGGTGCTGCCCACCTTCCTGTGGCCGCTTCACGCTCGGAAGAAATACTCGGCGATGGAAAACGGAGCTACCAACGCTTGAACCGCCAGAATCTCTGCAATAGATCTTCAAGTAACAGGTCGCATGTACAGCGTGGCGATTGGTTGAAAGACGCCGCCTGCAGGTTCCCGGTGCCATTGCTCAATGCCGTCAAGCCCTGACCAGCTTGTCACTCCAAAGCCGAGGTAGAATTCAAACGGGTTCGCTCTCTGGCAGTGAACATTGCTGCCCTTGCAAGCCTTCGCGATCTCGGCTTGGGCAGCCTTGTACCTCTTGTGCGCCTAGCAGAACAGGATTCCAATGACGAGGTTTCAGCGGAGAGCATCACAGCTTGGCTATCCTGTTGAACATTCTTGAAATCGGCGTCCAACTCAGATTCAATCTTCTCCGCTGCCTTACAGCATGCAACTACAGCAGCAGCACCAGGAGTTGCAAAAGTTTGAGCACTTGAGCACCCCATCCTCCACTGCCAGATGCGCCAGCTGCGGCTCGTCTCCAGCCTCACAACATGCAAAATGCTTTGCAACGTGCAACGACATGCAAGGCATATGACAAAGGTCTGGGTCACCTGTTCTCTGCAAGCAGCTCTCATCTGCGCCTGTGAAGTGGAGGTTGCGGGTATGACGTCTGCGTCCTCTGCGTCCTTCACAGGATATGTGTAGACTGCTTTGGGAGAGGCTAGGGCCCATCAGATTCAAGCATGCTGCTCGATGAAATAATGAGATGCCAGAGCTTTCAGGCTAGTTATTTGAAACGCTGCTACAAGCGACCGATTTTGCACCATTGAGAAATAGCAGATACCTCCATGTTTGTCGTTGAAGCCGTTATTTCGTCTTCTGACTGATCTCCTGCCTGACACAACACGCCCAGGAAAAGCTGTCAACTTACGTTGGTGGTACAAGACTATATGAGCACAAGGTAGCCATGGTTGCCTTCTCGCCGGTCTCTTCCTCCTGAAGCAAGACTCTGAAGATCTCTGAAGACAGTTTAACAGCTCTAGATGCCTCACCAAACTCCCGCAAGGACTCTAAATTGCAAGGGATCTGTCGCTGCGAGAAGCTGCGAAGGGGGACAAGAAGCTTTTCTTTCTGAGTTGTTCTGCTCCCCTCTGAGACTCACTGGAGATGCTGACGCAGCTGGCCACTGGTTGGCCACAGTCCATTTCCGCACAGGCCCGTTTTAGATGCATCACGGACGAGTTCCATCAACTGTAGTGGGGGCACCCTCGCTGGCTTTGCCTTCGTGGCTTCCAGCAGGTGCCTGCAGCTGACTACCCTGCGGCGGAGAGTCAGGAGGATGCCGGCGCCTCACCCAGCAACATTCGGGAGGTGGGCCTCCAGCTATTGTCCGAAATTTCTGTAAAAAAGACATTTCGGACCACAGCTAGAAGCCCACCTCCCGAATGTTGCTCGAGGGTGAGGCACCTGCATCCTCTTGACTCTCCGCCTCAGGGACGCGACATGCCACAAACCCTCCCTTAATAAGATGCACGCGACATTCAGCCGGTGATTGGCAGCACATCAAGGCCAGGCCCGTTCATACGCATGCCTCTGAAAAAAGCAAAGTTGTCGTCTGCAGCGCGTCCTTCCGAATGCTCTCACGGTGGGCACCAGGGATACTTGAGCTTTGGCAGCGAGCACTGCAGGAATACGCGGGCAGGGTACTGAAGGGAGGAGAACCAGGCGAGGAGAACATGCCATCTGTAATCTAGCGCAACCCAGCACCAAGTGGGCAAAGTATGAACTGCCAGTTTGACAAACCTAGTCGCCCAAAGTTGACGTAACAGGGCCACAAAAAGGCAGAGCAACGACAAGAACACGATCCCCGAGCCCTCATTGCAAATTTCGACTCCAGGGAGACTGTCAGAGTGTGCATTCTACTCCCAGGCATTCCATGTTGCCTAGACCTGCACAAAACAAAACTATTCATGCACTAACCGCATCTCCTCGCTGGTTGAAGCACCCTGGGACTCATCTAGATCCTGTGCGACAGGTTCCATGGTCTCTCCCAAACATGATACCGCTTCCCCAAATCCCCCAGCAACATTGCTCTGCAGAGAAGCATTCCAGAAACCTAGTGAGTCTAGTGGATACAAATCTGGCCTGCCTGCAAGATGACGGACGTTGATGCTTCCGAATCGTCCATACTCTGCAGCGGTGTGTCCTCCGACACGCTACAGCAAACTGCCCACCAAGAAAGCTTCAGTTTCAATTCATCACACTTTCCCGTAGCCGCTGGAATCAAGAGATTTGTGTGCCCTCCGTTTGGTTCCTGCTCTAGGAGCTGTCGGAGCACTTCCCCCTGGAAGTAGGGGTGCCCAAGCATGCAAGGCCCAGCTCTTGTGTTCCAAGGACCCCACAGGAAAATCTCAAAAAACACATCTCCAACCCTACCAAAGCAAAGCTCCACAATGCCCCGAAGAGGCATGGATTACAAACAGGCTATGTGTGCACTGACCGCATCTCCTCGCTGGTCGAAGCACCCTGGGACTCATCTAGATCCTGTGCGACAGGTTCCATGGTCTCTCCCAAACATGATACCGCTTCCCCAAATCCCCCAGCAACATTGCTCTGCAGAGAAGCATTCCAGAAACCTAGTGAGTCTAGTGGATACAAATCTGGCCTGCCTGCAAGATGACGGACGTTGATGCTTCCGAATCGTCCATACTCTGCAGCGGTGTGTCCTCCGACACGCTACAGTAAACTGCCCACCAAGAAAGCTCCAGTTGCAGAACCGGCTTGTGAGGACCCTGATGTTATTTTTTGCGTAACGCTGCACCGGAAATTCTGCTGAAGGCTACTCAGTCCAAAGCAAGTGGACATGCTTCTGATGCAGGGTACTTGCGTTTCGCAACCGATGAAGGGAGACTCTGAAGATTTGTGCCAAGAGCATCGGGGAGCTCAGGAGGAAAAACCTTGCTTTCTCGAGTCTACAGTCAGCGCATCAGAACTCACGGACATTCAGCGCACGTCGCAGATCCCCCGGGAGCCAAGCTGCAGCCAAACACACTGCGCCTGTAAAGGGAGCCAGCCCAGCCCACTAAACTCCAAACGCGCCAACAACGGGATCAAAGAGTCAGGTCAGCATAACAGGGCTCCGCCACTGTAGACTTTCCGGCCACCGGCCACCAGCCACCCCCGTATCCCACTGGGCTCCATCATGGCGTCAAACAGTAGATTTACACCTTGTCAAACGTTTTGCAAAGCTGATTTGCGTTGCAAATGGAGCTGTTCCTGACGATTCAGGAAGCCAAACCCGCCTTTCTGACCACGCCCTAGCAGCCAGCTGAATAATTTCCGCCAAGCCCCGTGTAGCCACGAAGCAAAACCAGTGCGCACATCTACCTCTGTTATCCTCTACTGTGGTACTCTTGGACTCATCCGTCTCCAGGGCAATAGCATCACTGACTGATGCAAAGAGTTTGTCAGACACAGACTCAGGGATGGATACAGGTTAAGAGACAGACAGAGGGAGAGAGAGTTACATACAAAGTATCAAGATTTCATACCGTTCCCGAATTATCCAGGTTCTCTAACCTCGTGTCCTCCCTTGTGTTTGCAAAGTGCACTGCAACTTCAGAGGAGCATCGGGTATGTTGCGCTTCCAACAAACACATGGCCATCACGCAGCAAGACAAGTTCAGAAACAGATAAACCTAAGGCGGAATGCTACTGCCATTGGTGCCCTGATAACTTGATCGCATGACTGACACACTAAGCAAACAGCGTCCTGTATCTCAACCGTCGTAGATAATTGCACGGCGGGCGGATCCACCGGGTCTCCAAGCGAGTCCTTCACACCATGTAACACACCATTGAAAAGCATGTTTGAAGAGCGTGTAGTGCCGTGTAGCTCCTGAATTGGGGCCAGGGCCTGCAGCCAAACGCGCTGAAGTTGAAGCCAAGCATCACTGAACAAAGCTAAGCCTGTCTGGCTTTGTCGACTTTGCCGAAGCTTGTGCTGTCCTCAACCCATGTTTTTGCCGGACTCCACTTTTGTCTTAATCAACCTGGAAAGTTGCAAAGCATAACGTGCCTCAAACTCGCCAGTTTCCTCACTTTCTTCTGGGCCATTGCTTGCATCTTGGCCTTCCTGCAGACTCAAAGAACGTCCCTGAGGGTAATTCCAAAGGATACATCAACGCACAGCATGGCAAGGCTGTGTGCTTAAGCCCCGCACCTCTGCTTCCAAAACGGATCTCTCTTTAGCGAGCATGGCTTCCTAGACGGAGCAGAGCATAAGCAGAGAACGGAGCCGTTAGTATCTGCTCTAGTCGGTCCTTCTTTCTCAGAGTTTCCTTTTCACTCTTGAGCTTTTGCACCTGCACGCCAGCTCTTCTGTCATGAGGCACTCAACGCAGCAAATGGAGGTGTGAGCTGAAAACTGAATACACCTTCTCTAGCTCAGGCACATCAGAGCTAGATTCCTCTTCTGCTTGTTTCGAGTCATCCTTCCACACATCAGCTGTGTGCCAAGGCATCAAAATCCGCAATCACCGGAATGCATGGATCAAGGGCGGAGTCCGTCATTGTGCTGTCTTTCCTTCAAGGGAAGCGTCAGCCAGTGTCTGCTGTCTTGCCTTTCAGCCTAGAAAGCCCACCTACTCGGAGGTGGGTCGAGCTCTGCCCTCTCCAAGGAGCCCAGTCCTGTGTCGAAGTTTTGACTTTGGGATTGGTAAAGGCTAATGGTCATGCAGCGATAATGGAAAAGAAAATGGAAACTACTGTATACTACTTTTGGTTTCTATACTAACTTCATCCCAGCTGGCTCCTTGCTGGACAGGAGGTCTAAAGGCGTTTTGTTGCGCATCCGACTGGTGCGGAGTACTCCTTGCAGAAAGCGTGTCATGACATGCTTACGTTAACTAACGCAGACCGTAGCTGCTCAATTGGATTCGATTCTGGCAAAGGCCGAGCAAACCCGAAAGCCTCCAGATGTTGTTGACCGCTCGCATCCCCACCTGAACCTGATCAGGAGCTGCACGCAGAGCACGAGCCTACGATGTCCGCAGCTGCCGCCAGAGTCGGGTAAAATCCCAGTGCAACAAAGACAGAGCTGCGCATGTGATTGCCAGATGCAAGATGTGGGGTTAGGCTTCGGGCCTGCCGTTTCAGTGCACCGCACGCGATATTTCAGATGAGCTACACAAACTCAGCAACTTACAGTCTGCAAAGTGTTCAGAGTGGAACGCCTACCAAATTGCAGCACTGAAAAGTACTCCTGGCAATTCCAACGGCTTGGCCTTGGAACCTTGTTGGCAAAAGTGGTTGCTGCCGGTTCAGAACTTTTTTGCATTTGTAGCTTGCGGAAGCTGGCAACGCTGAAGTCTAAACTTTCTGCTTTGACTTGATTACAGAACAGCGGTGCTTCAGTCTGGACACTACAAACTGCACGGGCCCTCAGCGTGCCAAAAGAAATTTGATGCCAAGAAGCCTTCAACCCGCTTCCCTACACCGGCCAGAACCAGAACAGCGTTCTCAGCCCATGATTGCTCAGTGTTGCGACATGCTGACAGCCTCATCATCACCATCCAGTTCGCCAACCACCTCTCTGGATAAAGGTGGTGAAACTTGATTGACACGCCAGACGTGCGAAGCTGAGGAGAAGACTTGGTTGGGGCGCGCTGCCAGTCCTGCAAAGCGCTGTGTAACGAGCCATGTGAGCAACACAGGCTTCCGAGGACCTCTGGAGGACACCCAGAACAGCAGGGCCCAACATACCTGGCTTGGGGGGTGACTGCAAGACTTTGCAATTTGTTCAATTCCACTTGCCTGGCTCATCTTGCCATCATATGGACCTGCACAAAGGATCGTGAGAGGTGTACTCAGTACTCCCTGAGCGCTGAGCACCGAGCCTTGTGCGCCACTCCTTACCCTTCCTGCATTTGGCAGAACCTCAAAAAGCTCCCATGAGAAAAAGAACTGAAAGAATTTTGCGTGACATCACCAAGCTCAAGGCAAGGCAGATTGCCCCAGGCAGCGGGGCCAGCTTTTAGGATAAAATGAAAGCAGTCGCGCGTAGCCAACTTTTGAGAAAGTATGCTTAGACTTGCCATCCCAGCATCAAAGCGAGACAGAGGCCGGAAAGAGTGGTGGAAAGCATCTTTTTCATCTTGACCTCTCCAGCATTCTATCCGCTGCTAACCTGGCACTTTGGGTGCGGGAGACGGTTAGCTGGCCTAATGGCTCAAAATCGCACAGCCGAAGCTGGAAGCTGCCAGTGACCACTGCGCATGGACACCAGCCAAACCCTTTGCTCAATTAAATGGCGTGGCTTGTCACCACGTTCACCACAGCTCCATCTGCACATCTTCCTTAGCAAGTCCAGGAAGCTTGAAACAACAATCACACATTATCTTACATTCAGAAAGCAATCAGAAACGGCTCAGGTAGGCTCCCGGCCATGGGCCGGTCCTTGAAGCAGGACCGGAGCATGGCCCCGAAGACCACCTGAGGGCCCTTGGCCCAGCCCAAGAAGCAGGCACCCAGCTCCGTAAGTTCCTTGGTGACACTTAGGGCAGTCTTCAAAACTCTTCAAAATGCATTCTGTACGTATTCCAGATATCATTGCATTCTATGTTCTGCTTGAAAGTCTGCTGAGGGCACTACTCCTGTGTGGACGACAGCTTTGCCAGGACCCGTTCGCTTGGCCACAATGTCAAATCGAACCTTGAACCATGTTGAACCATCAGTACTTTGCCCTTCTCGGCCTGCTTTTGTCGAACGGTCGACTTTGCCGCTGCGTGACCACGACTGGAAGCTGATGACTTTGTGCTTGAAGCCACTGGATCCACCTTACGCAAGCTGGTGACTACTGACTACACAACAACACACGCGCATGGCGTGGCGCGAACATCAGAGATGAAACACTCTCTTGTCAAAATTCTGAGGCCGCTGCCTAGCTATAAGAGCCTCAGCCTGACGCTCGGCATCTGCCAAAGCAGCATCATCGTTCTGGAAACATTTGGCCAAGCAGCCCAAGCGATCGTACCTGCTCAAGGCACTGCAATCCCTTCAAGCAGACTTGTCACAGAAGTGTGAAGGCTATAAGGGTCGTCTTGATTTTCAATCGGCACGACATCCTAGTTTGGCCTCTCAACTGCTACCATACCAAAAAAGTGTCAACAGCTGGAAGATTTGAAGCCTTGATGCGGCTTTGTCCATGCTTCTGTCCGAAACAAACTTGCCGCGCAGGGTTGAGTGATGGCAGAGGCAGCAAGAGGTCTTCCATGCTGTCTGGATTAGCCAATGTGTCTTCCCTCTTGCCCAAATTCACACTGCGGTGAATTAACGTCAGACATGGGTGCCGGCAGTGTAAGTTTGTGCCAGCCTCTCACGCCCAGAGTCTTGCCCTTGGCGCGATCCCTGCTGATGGTGCGCGAGTGCGTGCCAAGAGCGAAGGGTAAGTGCACTGAGCGTGCATGGACAAATTCAGCAGTTGTTGCCGAGCAGGCAAGAACAGCTTACCAAGACACAGGAAAATCTGCGAACCTTCACAATGATTTACAAGCTGAAGCCCGAACAGCCCACATCCTGAGGATGAGGCCTGTCAAAGTTTCGGAACGAGTTGTCTTCCTTGGACTTGAATACCTGAAGCTGGATGTGCTATCAAATGACCATGAATGTCACTGGGCTTCAGGTCGGCACGGTGTAAACAATTTGTTTTGGCTTCCACGACTGAGGGTCATCGTAGTTTGCCTGGGCGAGAGAATGACCGCGCAGCTGCAAAGTCTCGACATGCAGTCAATTGCCAGTCACCTCGACAATGAAGTGACGCATTTCCACGTCGAAGTCGAGCCACTCCTGAAAAGTGTTCGAGTTAATTGAGACACACCTGTCCCAGGTCCCAGTCAAGACTGTACTTCTCGACCAGCCCCCAACTGTCCCTAGCCGCAACTAGCCTGGACAAAGATATGGTCGCAGAGATTTCCAGGCTGTTCGCTGAGCTCGCACAGCGCCAGCTCGAGCTCCTGAGGCCCCAAGACCGGTTGAATCTCCCAACCTACAATGCACAAATACGCACAAGCTTTGTAGCTGGAGCCTCCTTCGTTTTCCAAGCAGTCACATCCATAGCTTCCCAACTCCATCCCAGCTTCGCGACCTCAAGAAACTCTCGTTGCTGGGATCTTGCAAAATGCTTCAGCAAGTGTCCAAGCTAGTCACTCCCTTCACCACACGCTTTGCCTAGAGGGCGCAACGAGCATGCTATGCTGGGCTGTCACAGCTGGTGACAAAACACGTGCAAGGGGGCCTTTGGGGGCTGAGCAAGCTGAGCATTCCAACTGTGGCGCGCCTGTCGGGGGACATGATTGCCACACATGTGACATGTCAGCCAACCGTCGCCTCTGCCAAATTGTTTAAAGCTTTCATGGCATCGGAGGCTGCGCTTGCAGGATCCATGGTGATGGCCTTGGCCAGGCCGATGCAAGGGCGCGCGCGTACCAGGCACAGAATTCAGCCTGTTTCCTGCCTGCCGCGACACCATCGTAGTCAAGGGAACATTCAGAAGTGGATGCAAACCTTGGAGGCGAAAGATATGACTTTCTTTGAGCCTGGATTTGGGCAGCAACATCAAAGGCTGCCACACATCTGGCTAGTCCATTCTTTCGAAGCGAAGATCTGACAGGGATCATCATACAGGATGTGTGTGCAGTTGGATGTGCCAAGTCCTTATGATTGTCGGTGAGGACCGGAGTTGTGCTGCCTTGTACAGGTGCGACTGATGCGGAAATCGTGTCGGAACGCCCGCAGCCTCTAGGCAAGTTGCACAAACCTTGCCACAAACTCGCGAGCACAGTCAGCAGAATCACCTCCATCTGGATCATCATCTCCAACTGCTTCTCCCGCTGGACATATGCTGGTGTTTCATGGCCGTCCTTCAGAAAGAGAAAGCTTTGTTACAAGCACCAGGATCTGTGAAGGGCTGTCAGCAATGCGGTCCTGGAAGGCTATCGGCCACATAAAATACAGCGCCCCAACATGTTCTCCTGGCGCTTTGCACGGCACTTCGCCCATACAAGGTTGCGCACTGCCACAGGAACCTCTAAGCATGGTCTTCAAGATCGGAGGATGAAGCTTCAACAACTCCTGCAAGCTTGAAAACTGGGCTTAGGATTGGCCTGGAATGTCCCCTGTCCTCTGAATTCTGGAAAAACACGGATACAATCTCGTAGTTCGGCCCCAGAGTCCGGAAGACAGAGTCCTGCAGCAAATTCTAGTTAGGGACGTCAGCGAGACCATCTAGAAGAAGCTGGAGCACCTGCTTTTGGATACCACAAGACACGAGCAGGCCTCCCAGGAGTTTATGTAGTTGTCCGATGGCGTTGAGCCTATCTTGCCCCAACCACCAGCACCCTGGCAAGGAAGTTAAAGTGATGTCTGCTCGAAATTGGACGGGTTCAAGTATGGCCTCTGTCACTGGGTTCACAGGCTGTTGCCCACCCCAGCGCACATGCAACCTCGGCGGGACATTCACATTTTGCAACTGCACAAGCACTCAGGACAGAATCTAGGAGTCCAACAGCGAGAGTCTCGGCTGCTGCTGGGCCTGGACACGTGCGCAAATCACCCATGCAGCAGTGCAGCAGAGAAGTCATCCGCAGGCTCGGCTGCGCGCTTCTGATGGCTTCCCGCGCTGTCGGATCCTCAGAGGCCATACCACAGCGGGCGCATGTCAAAGGCGTGAACTCCACCATGCAGCTTGGCTTCTGCTCGGGCATAACCCTTTGCGTCACCATGCTTGGATTCTTCACCTCACTACTGAAAGCACTGTTACTGCGGCACCTTGTAAGAAAGCTGCTAAAGCATGTTGTCGGACATACTAAGAGCACAGCATCCAGCCGGTGACCCCTGCTGAGGCCAGGCAATGTGGGGTGCACCAAGTGCCAGATATTGCTCTCTCTCCACTTGCTTTGAACAAGCCGAACGAAAAACTTGCGTCGCAAGGCTGGAAGAAGAACTGTTGGGGCTACGCAGCAGGTCGCCTAATCACATTGCAGTATCAGGCCAAGAAGGCCATGCAAAGACAGCAAGGGGCAGCATTGCTGAATGACGCTGTTCTGCAAAGTGATGCTTTAGCAAAGCAAAGAAAGAACAATCATGCTTTGCATGCAGCCTTCTGTTGTACCACGTAGGGTGTGTCCAGCGGATCTGGACCCACGTGTTGTAGTCCTTAGGACGAGCACAAGATGCCCAATCAATGAGGCCAGCTGAAGTCCTGCGGATTGTAGTAGTTGGCGTCCCAGTTTTCATTCACCACGGCAGTGGTCCAAGCATCTGTCCTGCTACAGCATGCTCAGTGTACTTGAACTAGGGAACTAGAGATGTGCGGCCCGTCTTTCCGACACTCGGATGGAGAAGGCCCGCAGAGCCTGACTGCGCCATGAAGTAGCCATTTGGATCCTTCGAAGAAGAGAAAGTGCAAATGGAAGTTGAATAGGCTTAGCCAGACTTAGCCTGCATGGCTCTGCCCGCTCCTGGCAGTAGCGATGGAAGACATCCACGGGCTCACCAGCAGAAAGGTAATTGACAGTGATGGGGAGCACCTTCCTTTCCTTAGTGGAGATGCTGCAGCAACAACAATGCCAAGCAGTGAATTCATGGCACTGCCCCATCTTCTCCTGAAAGCTGAAAATCGCTGCCAGGACTCATTTTGGAAGCTCTTGCCGTTTGTGCCTGCAGTTGCTTGTAGTTGCTTGAAGTCCTACCCCCTAAAAAGGAGCTGCATCATGCATCCCCATGGGCCTTTGGACCACTTGCCCTTGGCACCTTTGTGTCCTTGCAGCTTCGCAGAACCCTCTGCAGAAAAAGATCGGGCACCACCGGTCCTTGGGTGTATGGACCGGACTGATGATGTGCCCAAGCCATGGCTCAAGGGAGGTGCATGGCAACGGTCTCTGACCTTGAGGATAGGCTGAAGCGATCTGGACCAATGACCACACTTGCGTTGCCATCATGCAAGCGCGATTTATCAGAACCATGTCAATACAAGTCCCGAAACTTGGACTAGATGGGTTCTCCATGGTTCTCCTCATGTTGTTCCAGCTTGGAGCATGCAAGCCGGATTGTATTCAAAAACTTTAGACATCCAAACATGGGCATGGCAGGACTGCAAGTCAACCAAAACGCATGCGCGCCAAGATAATCCCACTGTAACCCGCATCATGTTGCACAAGCTAGCTAGATGTCTGCTTCACACGGACGTTCGTGAAGCGCAAACACAACACCTTGCTCACCATTTCAGAAACGCCCGACCGTGTGCTTGCGCGCCCTCTTGGCATGCCATCACCCACAACAAAGCTGTACAACGCGGGAAAATGACCCCAGTGTGCCGCAACACAATAATCGCCACCAACTGTACAGTCCATCTCAAGATGTGGCAGAAGCTTCTCAGAGATCTTCTACTGGCTGTTCAAATGCACAGCTTTCGAAAAGAAGCCGATGTCTTTCAGCCCAGCAATCAGATTTTGGACGCCATCTGCCTGATTTGTAACATCTGCAAAAAGAGCCATGCAGCAAAGCCATCTTCTCCAAATACCCTGGCAACATTCCAGTGTCCTGGGATGGTCAAGACAACAAGCCATGCAGCATGTGCAGTACGCAAGATAAGAGAAAAATGAATGCCAGTTGGCTTCCCTCATCCGTGCAGGCAAGGCGTCTTCTGGGATCGGCAGGCCGACGGACTTTGGATAAGTTGCACAGTTGAAGCACAGTGCACCCCAAGTCGAATTGCATGCAGAATAGGCTTTCCCGCGATACTTTTGCGGTGCCTCTGGCGGAAAAGCGTACACCTTGTTTATGTCATCCATGTCCTTGAGGATGGAAGACAGCCCGCAATCCTTTTCATTGCAGGCGCCCTGGACGTCCCAAAACACGAAGATCACACCATGAGGCGAGAGGGCGGCATCTTCAAAGTCCTGAAAGTCATCAGATACCTTCGAGCCACTAGGTGCTGTGACTCTCACATCTTGCAAGTCAAGGCTTTCACGCAACAAACCGTTCATGCCTCAACCTCGCTAGCTTGGAATATGCTCTGACACAGCCACAGAAACAGCCCCGGTAGTACGAGTCATGGCAGTCATGGGCTTCATCACACCATGCGGTCAAAAAAACTGCAGCCACTGAGTTTGGAAACACAAGCACATCAGCAGGAAAGGCACAAGATGGTGTTGCCCGTTTCCAGTTCATGTGAGCACAGGGAAGCAACTGGTTTGGTGCGCACGCTGAGGTTCGGCTACCTTTTTGTGTTGTTCAGAACGATGTAGACACTGGCTTTCAAATTTGTCAGCGCGATGCGGGATCTTGAGACTTCAGCTTGTCAAAAGACAATTCTCCCAGGGCCCCGTGGTTTTGGGTTGAGTTCCTGTCCGTGGGCGAGGTAACGCCTAGCATCCAATCACTTAAAAGCTCACGTCGAAGATTGGAATGAATCTGAAACCCTGCGGACGCTCAAGGAAAAAGCTAATCTAGAAGATGGTTGCCACACAACATATGCGCATAAATCCCCGTACGGACGAAAAAACACAACTGATGCGAGATAGCCCAGCCCGCAAGAACTAGCAAAGTGGTGCAAAGCTGCTGCCAGCGGCACCTTTCCTGGGAAGCTGTTGCCCTCCAGAAGCGACCCAACTAAGGCGCGCATGTCATTTCGCAGCTCCGTATCGGGTGTGAAGCCAAACATCACCTGAACTCATCAGGACTGACTATCTGTGCAACACGTCGGATGCTTTCCCTCGTTTTGAAGATACAGGGAAAAAAGAGAGAGTTTTCAGCGTAGCTCCATCTGGTTCTTGATTCAGGCCTATGGGATCCAACCAGTGTGCCTGCTCCAGGCGCCCAGAACCGGGAAACCATAGAAAGTGTGTGCGCTTTGTTTGTTCAAACACAAATTTCAAGATACAGCATTGTCATGCAAGGCTCAAGCACCAGACTTGCTGGTAAGCAGAGTCATAACGTTGCAGTCTTGAATATGGATGCCCAAAGATGTCATGATTGTGTTACAAAGGCAAGGAAGCAATCAGCACATGCAAATGTGTTGCGTGAGGGTTGTTGTCTTCGGGGCTATGCCTCCCGCGTTGTAAGACTTTTGTACAACGCAGCTTCCTCAAAACCTGGCTATGCTTGGTTTCAGCCTCATGGAACAACTGGCCTTTGGCGCGTCACTGAAGCGCAAGCCGACGTGACCGGTCCAGCGCATGTGAGGGGCGGATTCATTGTAGTTTGTCTGGTCGCCAGAGAAACCCACCAGTTGCACCTGCCCCGGCAGCACGGGCAGCTCGAGTGTACCTGACATTGAACAGCAAACAGCATTGAAGCCTTTCCAGAAGTCTTCCAGCCTCCTCTGACAGCGAAGAGAAGAGCGGTAGCAAATAATGGCGGGTACATGTTGATGGACTACGTGTGTGCCTGTCCAAATAGCCATGCTGAAGTGTTCTGATACGCTGACTCAGTTGGCGACTGTTGGTTCCTCGTTGTGAAGGTTTCCTTGTGAAAGTGGAAGATGGATGAGCCAGCTGCACACACAGACACGTGTCATACAGCCTCCAGCAAGCCCAAAAAAATGAAATGCACCCCATTACTCATACGTGTTGTAACTTGCACGCTACACGTCGTCAAAGCAAGCAGTGGCTTTCACATTTTTTGCGCATGCTTGCTAAACATGGCCTGACTCACTGCCACTAAGACAGCGTTGCATGCTTCAGCTTCGCTGAAGCATGCTAGGCGCGCGAGCAGTCTGTCAACCAGACTCATCCGGACTCCAGACTCATCCGGCATAACCTGCTGCCGCAGCTGTTGCTCTTTGCGGCCTTAGAATAGCATTGTGCAAGGTGGAAAGACAACTTGCGCTAGGTCCCATGTGCAACAATCAGCAATTGCTCTTGCCAACAAACATGAATGAAACATGTGCAAATCGCGTGGCAACATGGGCGTCCGGCACGGTAGCTGAACTTGCCGTAGCTTCAGCCGCCGCCACTGCTGCCTGCAGAGTGTGGTGGTGGCAGAAGCCAGAGCACGTGCAAGTGCACAGGTCCTGCGGCTTTGATATCGCCAAGCGCAATGAGGCGTCTACGGCCAGATCTTCCTGCAGTTCAGCGACATGATGCCAGCCGAGTGATAGGATGAAAAGCTTCCAGTCCAGCACTTTGTCTACCTCTGCTTCTGCCTAGCAAGTGGTCGTCTCTGCATCGTGGAAGGGAGGACCAAGTCTAATAGGCAAAGCAGAAACTGCCTCCACCTCCAAATCTGGTCCATCCTCAGGGACTTTCTTAGCCTATTGCTTGTGCCTTGTCTGCTTATGCTTCTGTGCTGCCGCGTACTTCCCTTCACTTAGCGCACGGCCATCTCTTCCATGCCTTCATCAATCAACTCATCGATGAGTCCGGCACCTGGGATGCGGGGAAGGAATGGCAACCAAGTTTGGTTCAAAGCGGGTCTTCTAAGAAAGGAATTGTAGCAACATGGGGCCTGGGACTTGCTTTGCAAATTCACTGGGCACACAACAGCGTGGCTCGTGGCAAACGGATCAAAGTGCGCAACAACCATACGAGCTGAGCTCGCACACGCATCATCTCTCGTTTCATGGAGGAAATCGATTCCTGCTCACGAAGAAAGCCCACACAGGCCTTCCAAACAGGCAAAGGCCTCCATTTCGGGAATCTTGACCAGAGAATTCATTTGCTTCATAACCTGCTTCAGAATTTCTAGACGCATTCTTATCACCATTTCACAGATCACCTCTGCAGATTTGCTCATGGAGTCTGACAGCCGCATGGTCGCTGCAGTTGTCTCCAGCTCTGCCACAGCCTTGCGGCATTGGGGCTGGAGGCACTGAGGCTTACCGGGGTTGAGCGAGGATTCTTGGGCTTTAGCAGCTGTGGGACTGCAATTCAGAAAAGTCAATGCTTCTCATCTATCGTCTCTCCCCCTTACACGGCTCAGCTCACATCCCATTGAGTGCTCTGGGGTCGCAACCCAGATGTGTAGAACTCAATGGTGCTTCCAGGCTAAGATCCAAACGGACTGCATGATCGATCTCGAGGTGTAAAGCCGGTCCTGTACTTGAAGAATCACTCCACGAAGTGCTGAAATGAGCGAAATGAGCATGAGCAGCTCTTTGAGTCGTTGCAAAGCCAAGGCCAGCCTTGGCCTTGTTCGATCGGACCAAGGATTTGGCGAGCATCTGGATGCTTTTGGGGTCGCCCCCCTGTTTTGCCATGGTCTGGCAGGCAAGAGTCATAGTCATAGTGCAAAGGGTTTAGTAGAGCTTGCCGAAGATGTCAGGCGCATGCTGCTGTCAAGTGCACGAACAAATTGCAAGCACCATCGAAACTCTTCGAGGCCTGAATGTCTTTCCGAATCTTGTCCTCCTCCTGTTCGATCTTCCTCACTGAAGCAAAGATTGCAAAGACAGCAAGTTCCAGCAACCAAGTTGAAGTGTATGGTCCTGATGCTTCTGTCCAAACCTCGTGCTTCGGCGCGCAAATTTCGCTGCCACTCTCGGACCATTTCTTTGGCAGATTCCTGCCCAGGCGCTCAACACCAGAGAGGCGCGCCTGCCTCGGGTCTAGGGATGGTCCAACTTGAATGGGCCAGGGACAAGCGGAAACGTCGAATTTGAGACTGCATACGTTTAGAACTCCTCAGAATCACGTCCTATATTCCATTAGTGCAGATGACAGCTGCCTGGGCGTCCAAACCTTATCCTCGGGCAAGACTTCCTAACCCCTGTTCGGCACCGTAATGCCAAAGCCAAACAAATCCACCGGTCCTTCTGGGCTTCCTGTGTGTGGCCCTTGCCAAACAAATTGATTCCCAGCGGCATGGCGTCCAACTATGGGCAAAAGATGACAATCTTATCATGTTGCAATGTCGCAAATTTATTGATCTTCTCACTTGTCCTTGCAAACTACCGATAGTTCGAAGTCTATCTGTCTTCATTGCCAACTGGGTTTCTTGTGCCCCACGCCTACTCATGAGGTACACTGCGATGAAGACTACAAGCTAATGTTGCCCTGGATCTTGTACATTCTAATGTTCCAGCCGATCTTTTTGCAGGCAATTTCCCAATGAAGTGCATTGTTGTTGTTGTCGTTGACAAATCTGTCTTTCACATTTCGAGGACTGCTTCCCAGCCGGCTTTTAAACAATGTCTGGCAGACATTGCAGCCAGTTGAATGGGGCTTCAGAATTTTTGGAGGGAATTGTTGGGGGTAAGGTTTTGGAGAACGATGTGAACTACCTGACACACTCCACAGATTGAACTGTCGGGCATGGGGCATGTAGGCCTAAGATACGTCTGCAATCCACAGCCCTGCCAGCTAAGTGTCCAACCTTGAGTGTGCTTACTGACCAGGAGGTCTGTAGTAGCACTTACCCGTGTCAACGTTACAAAAGATCTCCGCTTAAGGGTAGATGAGGGAAAGAGTATTCTGCCTAATGCTCCAGAAACTGTTTAAAAAAATGGCGAGACTAGACAAGATTTGTCAAATACTTACAGTTGCATTGCCCCTGCTGGGGAGAGCTGAAACAGAACAGCAATGAGTTTGTGGAGTTTTCATGTCAGCAGGCTAAAGTGGTGAACCACAGAGAACGGTTTGACAAGTCGTTCTGTGAGAGCCTTTCAACGTGGCACCTGACAAAGCTCGCATTATACTTTTCCCTAGCACTGGAGATAGTGTGAAGACCGGATGCTTTGCATCCAGCTGATCAAATCCAGCCTGTCACCGAAACACCTGCCGGGAGAACTACAATGAAGTCACTGAGCTGCTACGTCGTGGGACGTCAGCCGCAAAAACGCAAGAAAGCGTACTGTACCCGCGACTTTCAAATGCAGAGAGAGGCAGAGATCTTTAAATTTGAATGCTAAAAAACATCCCTGGTAGGGCTTGGCTCAAGATTCATTATTTCCAGCTATCATGGTCACTCTTCTCACTCACAGGCTTGATCGCATTGTATACCCTCATCACCTCAATCAGATGCACAGGCAGCACTGTAATCAAAACGCTAAAAGTTGATGCTTTTTTGTAAACAAGCTGAGCAAGAGGACGTTCTGACGATGATCTGTGAAGGGCGAGGGAACAAAGTCGGGGTAGACCTGGTGATCCCAACTGCTTCCGTGTGAGGCCAAGACTGCTCTGCGCCTTGAGGATGAGGGAAAAGACCAGCATGTGCCCCGGTGGCGAGAGCGGGATGAGCAGGAGGATAAGAAAAGGCACCGACACAAGCAAGTCCTCCACCAAGGCAAGAGCAGCTTTCTCTCGGCCCGCCCAATTGCTTCGATAATTATACTTTACCGAACCTCCATGCCATAGATTTGGTGAAGAGGAGAATGCGCTGATATTCAGTTTGGATTGGTCAAGAGCCGGGAGCCAAGCGAATTACACACTTTCTTGGCTGCCCCAAGGTGTCTCTAAGGTGACAGAGTGGCGCATGTCAGCTGCCAGTCACTCCATTGCCCCAGCCAGATGAGAGAAGATGGCCTTAGCATGTCGCCAAACAAAGCTCCTTGACCGCTCGTCTGCAAATCCGAACTTCTCGATCTTCAAGGGCATGGTTTAGGAAAACAACCTTGAAGGCTAGCATTTCTGCAAAATGCAGAGTGGCAGCACAGGAAAAAGCGCACAATAAGCGCACCTTCAGAAGAAGCTTCAGGGCAAGCTGAAGGTCCTCCAAGAAAGTCCAGACACACGCAATGCTGCCAGCAGCACCTCTACCACATTCAAACCCACCTGTGAGAGCAGCCGAATGCCATTCGCCTGGCACTCCAAACACAGCACACCTCACCCACCCCCATTTGTTCTACAGAAGCGACAAAATCTGAAACCTTTTCTTGGGAGGAAGCTGGGTGTCTGAAACCACTAAAGAGTCAGTGCAGGAACGACAGCTCGATTCTGCAAAAACGTTTTTCTATCTTTTCTAAAAAACGCACCAGTTCTCCATGCCACAACACCAAGTATCCGGCACAGGTGGCAAGCTATCGCAGAAGAAATCCACGGACATGCGCGCTGAAAGCATTCAGCCAGCATGGAAAAAAGGCTTGCAACAAAGCCCCACCGGTGGGCTGGCGTTGCCAGACCGCCAAGATTCGGTGCCACGAAAGAATCTCTCACGCGCAGTCTCGATCAGGTGGGATTTACACTACGACAAACCAAAACTTTACAGGGTGCAACAAGTCAAAGCATGACATAGCATGACGCAGCCAAAATCGACCTGTTCTGCTGTACTCATCTGATCTCCACAATGCAGTTCCACTTGAGCTTTGATTTCCAGCGGTGCAGTGATTTCCACTTTGATCTCCAGTCACGTTCCTAGGCCCCTGTTTGGACATCAACAAGGAGCCCAAATTGGACCGGCATATTTCGCCGCATCAGCGTGCGGCCCTCATACGGGAGCTCGCACACAACACAACTTTGAAGATACAGACCAAGCTTGATGTTCTTCTGGCCAAACTGGGTGCATGATTTCCCGTCATGTAATGCACTACAAGATGATAAGAAAATGATGATGCTGATGATGAATGATGAAAACAAATGATGGTGAATGAACTTTTGATTCCAAAGGTATGCCTGACAACAAGAATGGCACACCTGTAAAACTTGATGAAAATGAGGTTCCAAATCAGTTCGGGCAAGGGGCCTGCCCCGCTACACCAGACCAGAGGAATGATGTAGCACGAAATGAGCTGAAAATGAACGAAATGATGGCCCCACTAGCTACCTCTCAGGGTGTAGGTGCAGACCGGTGCGTGTGCACCATGCAGGTACGCTTTCACGGGGTTGGGGAAGGAGGTCTTCGTTGACCAGGACTCCTTCCCCACCCCTCCTGGCCCTCTGCATTTGCGAAAACGAAGTAAGTGGATCCAGGTCAACTCTCCATCGGATTTGGGAAAACATGAAAAGGCATGCCACGGTAAAACATGAAAACGACCAGATCAAGCAGAACTCTGGAGACCCCTGGCGAACTGAGCAGCTCCCAACCAAGGGCCTCCAAGAAACCATCCAAAAGAATCAATTTGAGTCTAGGTCTTGACAACTTAACCGTGCCAGGCAGACTTGGAAGATGATTCCACGCCGAATCTTCTGCCAAGATGTGGTGAAGGACAACCTGAGACAAACAACATCTACCGGAACAAAAATGTCAACATGTATGACAAGGCCAAAGTTAGGCTCCGTGCATTTGTCTACGAGCTGCTGCAAAAAAGCCACCACCTTAGATTTCACGCAAGGACGTCATGGGCATCTTTGTACCTAAACTGTAAATAGGGACCGGGCGCTGGTTTATTCGCTCAACGTGCAGTCCAACATTTTGAGCAATTGCGCCCTGCAATGACTCTGCAACTGTTGTCATGCAAGACTGAACAGCAAAACAGTTGCTAGAAGCCCGGGCTCATGGCGCATTTGTTCTGGAGTCTACTCCAAGTATAATACAGCCCGATAACCAGAAACCAACATGCTCACTGGCCTGCAAGGTTTCGATTTTAGGCGTTTTCGGCTTAGACCTCTGGAGGGTTCCGGGGCTTCAAGGCCTGTACCTGCCATGTGCCAAGGGGCAACTTAACCACCAATACACAAAAACAGTGTGTTGCTTTTTGTCTCAAAAATAAAATGGACAATCAGATTAGCCAGTAAGGAAGCACCATTTACCGCCGATTTCATAGCAAAAGCCTCAAGGAAAGAAAGCTGGACTTATAAAACTGTTTACCTTCAACTACCCAATGCACCAAGTCCCGAGCGGCTGCCGAAAGCGTGTTTTCTGAAGTTGCGCTCCGGGGTAGCTAATACTTGCCAGAAATTGCCCGCTGTTTCGCCAGATCAGCATCTTCCACCGTCTGACTGCATACCTGAGTCCCGCACAATCTGCTCCTCTAGCATCTGCAGCTCGTCCCAGTCCAGCCCCTTTATGTGGACCACCTTTGTATGACTGTTCGCATCAAGAAATTAAAGTGTCCTGGACCAGGATTTAGACACGGAAGGGCCTGCCTGCTCTGGACTCTCAAGCACATACTTCCGGTATGGAGCAACCTTCTGCAAGGCGTTGCATGATTCTTCACCATGTCTGATTTGTGGCTAAAGCCCAGCCTGGACTTCCAAAGCTGACAGCTTCAACACCAAGCGCTTCAGTCGGCGCCCTGCTGTGAGGTTACTCTCTCTTGTACTCCGCAAAAAGATGCTACTCAAAGCCTGAGTGATCCCACTCGGCGATGTCAGCTTCCACCAGCAGCTTCTCGAGTTTCGCAGCAACCTGGCAGCCGCTGACGCAGCAAAACAGCGAAGGCGAGGCTTCCCGATTCAATTCACAAGTCTCTGCCTGATCAAATATCAAGTCCACATTCGCTAAAAGCACAAGGACTTGATGGCCGGAGATGAGTCGATCCCAGCCTGATCAGCAGGAAGGAGTGAAATCGAAGCGGCGTTGCTGGCACCAAATGATCCATGCTGGCGCGACGTAAACTGAGGTTCCGTCGAAACAAATCGAATGTCAGCTCGATGGACCTTTTGTCTTGCGAGCTGCTACCGCCTCCAACCTGTCCCAGGCTGCGTGTTCGTGACAGCTTCTCTGCAAAACACAGGGCCTTCTTCATCTTCTTGAGCACTTTGGCTCGATTGGCTTTGGCTGTCTGCAGCTTCTGCTTCGCCTGCGCCCCCGATCACGACAACTCGTCTGAGCTGCTAGAAGTTTCCTCGAAGAGCACAATGTGCCTCCAGCAGAACTGACTGCTTTTGACGGATCCTCCCATCAGCCTCGTCATAGCAACGTCAGTAAGCATACTCATCGAACGTCATGGCTTTGCCAGGATCTGCATACCTGGAGGCCGGGCCTGCGAATTCTCATAGGGTGCCCACTCACCCTCAGAGTGTTTGCTCTTGCCTTCAAGCCGCTCCTGCCAAGCTGCACAACTGCACGCGCAACTGCGGCTTGCCATTGCAGAAGGTGTTTGAAACAGAAAGGCCCAGCATGGCCCAGCTGCAAGCGTGGCGAAAGGCTCCCACAGGTCGCGGCTGAACGGCTGCTCAGCTTGTGACTCCTGAAGCAGATGCCCACGAGCACAAACCTACAATGAATCCTGCAAAAACACCACCACCTGCCTGCAGGGCTGTGTCGATATCGACCATTTGATCCCCTCGAAGGTACCTGTTCAAAACAAACTGGTCGCATGGTCGCCCACGCCCAATCAAAGCATGGGGCACAGCATGAACTTCTTCCCGACTTGCGATGCTGCCTCGGTGGTGACTTCGACGCTAATGAGCTTGGCAAGCAGCCTATCAAACATATTGTGTTGCGCCAACCAGCAGCCTAAACCTCCAAGCAGCGTGCCAACTGTCACAGTGATCGCATGCAAGTGGCATATGCGTGCGTCCCACTCACGATGCTTGTGACAGTCATCAATCTGAGGCGTCCGAAGTACCATGCATGCAAGTGTTCACTCAAAAGTACCGCTACTGATTCCGTCTCCACCAGCACCATCACTACTACTTCTAACTGTTCCTTCACAACATTTGTAACTAGAATTTGCTGCAAAGCCTAGGCGCATCCTAGGTAGCACTGCGGAGTCATCTACCAGCCGCTTTGGACTGGTGTGATAACAAGGTCACGCTCCTGTTACACCTTAATCGTTCCAGCAGCCCACGTGTGAGGCCAAGCCCCACTGCAGATACATCCTGAGCAGAAGCCAGCTTCACGTGAGCCCTTGAGCGAGCCAGCCTTGGCGCATCATGTAAGCAGGATCTGGAAAAAGGTGCCTGCAAAATCTGTAACGACTGCAAAAGCGGCCGCCCGGCTCGAAATTCCAGCACCAACTGTGTAGCCCGCAAGAATCCGAGGCTGAGCAGCAAATCCCATGCGCAGCAGGCAGCGCCAGTGACATCGACATCTGTCCAAGTCTTCTTCATCGTAAGAAGGAATGCGTGCAACTGTGGTGTCTGCAACGAATCTTGGAGGATGACAACAAATTCAACAAGGCTCACAACATCGAGCACTTGCTCAGGCTTCTGACTGCATATGGTCATAAGGTGCAGAGCTTCAGCCCACAGGCGATTTCGACGAAGCACGGACAGCGCTGAATTTATGAAGGTTGCTGGAGCAGGGGTGCAGCCAGGCGCACCATGATTGCTTTGTGTTGCAATCCAAGATTGCAAGGTGTCTAGTGCCCGCGTCCAAGACACATACCCCAATAAGGTAATGCCCTCTGGATGGCCCAGAATGTCCAGCCTTGTGTCAGCAACTCTGTCGCGCCTCATATCCGACAGCAGCTGCTCGCCACAACCGGACAACATGTGACCTTTCAGACTGCCCACAGCACGCAGTGTAACAGCCACACTCAAGCTGTCTGGTTGCAGAGTCTGCTGGTGCGCATCCTGCAACAAACACAAGGCATGCTTCCATTGCCGCGCTCGCCGGCAGGCAGCGATAGCAGTGTTGTAGCAAACGACGTTTGGAAGCACGCCTTCCCAGCCCTGCCCTCCTTTTCCCAAAAGCATGACGGCAGCTTTCCACTGACTGGCACGCTCACATGCGGCAAGAACAGTTCCCAACGTTGCAACAGATGGCAGAAAGCTTAGGGTCTTCATAGCTGGTACCATTGCAAGAGCCCGCTCCCACGCATGAGCTTTGACACATGCTCCAAGCATGATGTTCAAAGCCACAGTGGCGTTGTGGCCAGCCAAAGCGAAAGGAGCACTGCGCAGCAGCGTCTGTAAAATACACAGCATCTTGGCCCAGCTTCCGTGCGCAGGCATGAAGAGGTAGTTGCATCGAACCGACAGCCCGGCATCGAAGTTAAAACTTGATCCAAGCGCGCATGCTCCCAGTACAGCGCTTGCGCACGGACTTGATGCTAACTCTGGGGCCCTTGACCGCAGGCAAAGGAAAGTTTCCAGGGCCATTTGCCAAGAAGCATGGATTGCAATCTGTAGACACAGAAGGTCATACGTGCGTGGAGACACCCTGTAGCCAAGCTCATGTGCTTCATGAGCAAGAGCACCAGCGATTTGCCATTGGCCTCCCTTTAGAGCGGACCTCACTTGCTCCTCGTAGCCTCAGCATCGTGCAAGCTTCAACAAGTTGTGAAGATAGCGCATGGTCTTTTACACCATGAAAGTATGCGCTTGCTAGATTCCAACATGTCGCGTTGAAGCCCGGGGCTGCGCCCCTGCTGCCAAAGTTGTTCTGCAACTGCTCGCTTGGCACGAGCCCAGGCCACAGTCCGGACAGGACCCGGGCCCATGGGGCCCCATTAGCTTGGGCAGCCATGGATAACAGGTCACGTGCCACTGGGATATACTTTTCACTCGAGAAATGAAGGCTCTGGATGAGACGGGTGTTAGTTCTGGCATGATGCAAAACAATCAGATCTGGGGCCACAAACTTTGGCATTCAAGCTCGGGCGGGCTGCGTCCTGGTTGAGGCTTCCGTGTGCTCTAGGTGTACAGTTGATGAAACCACCTGGTGTCTGAAGCAAGAATGCCAGCAGATAGGCTTGTGTTGTCCTGCTCTGTACTCCCGCTTTTGATCCCTTCCTGCGTCATACGCGACACAACACAAGGCATCCTCTGATTGCTACTCAGGCGTTGAATGCTTTGCAACTGCCTCACCATGCGTATGCGCCTCACTGGTGTCCTGCCAGTGGCTGCATGGGACGGGTAGGGAAGCAAAGCTGTAAGGCACCTGCGTCATTTCGACAACTCTGTCTTGCAGCTTGCCCTGTATCACCTTGAGATCTTCCTCTGCCTGGACATCAGCTTGCAATTGCCTGTGTGCGCACACGCAAGATTCACACCTTCCAAGCATCCTCTTCGCGCAAGACTTCCGAAGCCTTGAGCTCAGAAAGCCTTGTCTTGTCTCAGAAACAGAGGCATTTTCGGAACAGACTCACTGTAAGTGCCTTCCTGCGAAGGTCTCCAGGATGTTGTAAAGACCCTCTCGGGCCGAAATGTTCACATCTCTCCCTTCCTTTACCTCGTCTCTCCCTTCCACCTCGTAGTCGACCAGGCCAGGCCGCTCAGCTCCACGTAGACGAAGAGCCTTTGCTTTTGCTGATTTGTCTCAACTTCTGAGGACTGACAGTGTGCACGCAGACTCCGAGACCGTGTGCGCGGCAAACTCTCCGGATGTCATGGCTGCACGCATGTCCTGGCACGGAGCAACCATCCCTGATCATCCCTGGCCCCCACCAAGTAGATCGACTGCCTTCACGAACACCATGTCTTTGAGGCGTTTGGCGACGCTATCGAGAGGCGCCAGAGCCGGTGTCAGGGCCCCATCCTCTGCGAAATTGAAACAGAACGCAGATTAGTGCTATGACTGGAGAGGCAAATGCAGATTTGGACGACTTACCTGCTCAAGAACTCGGTGACCGATTGCAAAGACTCAGCATGCCTCCGGCCTTTTACTGAAAAAATTCTGCCCTTCCACCGAAAGTGTGCAGCAGGTTATGGCAGCAAGCATCCTGAGTCTTCTCAGCGTCACCAGATGTCTCACAATCTGACACCGGAGCCGTCCTTGGTTGGTTACGAGCACTCTGCACTGTCAAGCATGAATGTGATACTTGGCTGAGGGCCCGGCCTCAAAGGGGCAACTTGCCTCCAAGCCGTCGAGAGTTCAATAAGCCAGGGGGCATGATCTTGGTTGGATATGCTCCACACATAGCAACTGGAGCAGCCACAACAGCAAAGCACTGGCAAAGCTGGCCAAGGCGACAGCAGGTCACAGGCAGAGGTTTGGGCCGTCTCTCAACCTGCGTCAGAGCGCAATGGTCGAAGAAAAGGTTCTGCTCAAGTTTGTATAAGTTGCCTCTTCAGTTCGCCTGCCCCTGTGCCTGTCGCACGCAAGTCTATCCTGAAGCCGTCCGTGCACCAGATAGCCCGAGCAAAGGTGAATGCTGCCTCGCGGCAGCCAAGGGCAACCCGATAGCAAGCACTGCCTTCGCCTCAGTTACGGCAGCCTGCACTCAGTTCCGCACTCGGCTCCCTCGCCAATTGCAGCCAAGCTGCCCCAGATCCATGGCGCGAGACACCCACTCGATGGGGAGCATGTTGAGAAATGCAATCTTCACGCGCGAAGACTGGTATTGCATCATGCCGAGCTGGAATCACCTATGGCTCCAGTGATGTGTCTGAGTGACGCGGCATTCTGACTCAATACCGTGAGGCGATGGCAGGTAGCATAATGCTTGGTCTGGGAGCTGCCAGCTCCCAGGCGCCTACAGGAAAGAATTGGTCAAGCGAATCAGAGTCTTGGATGCATGGAAACGTCGCGATCTCTGCTGCTTCTGGCCTTAAATATCTACGAAGTACCCCCCCCAAAGTCCACGCTCTGCATATTTCCCCACAGTCAGGCCTGGAGCTAGTCCGAACCTTTCTCCATGTTCCACATATCTCTTCTGTCAGATTCCAGGCACGCTAGCAAGGTTCCGGTTTAGGGTTGCTACCATGGGATCTGAAGAAAAGCCGTGGCTTCAAAAGAGCAAGTGAACGTTTTCGCTAGGAAAACGTCAAGGGGTAGTTATTGACATGTGATAGATGCGTCTGTGCTCAAGCCTGATACAGCTTCGGAAGTGCGGCTTGGCAGCTTGACCACGCTGAGCTCAGACCCCCCCAAACCGCGCAGTTCACACATCCTTCAAATTCAAACTCTACAACGTCAGCAAAAAACACCTTTATGAGACCCTCACTTAAAACATCACAAGACCTGCATAGAATATGAATGATGACAGCTCATGGGCATTACACCTCCGCGGTTGAGACATGGACCCTGCCTGGTCCAATGACAAACATATTTGTCGCAAGCCTGTTGGCCGAGATCTAGCTATTGCATCCTGCACCCGAGCAGACGACGGGTTCCCTGGCCCGTCACCTCCTAGTCTGCCACTCAACTAATATCTTGACATATATTGATACCGAACTGCTTACAGAAACATTCCGAACAGAATGTGAGTCCCCACATGCAGTCGTGTCGTTTCCCGAAAGAAGCTGATGTTCAGCAATCTCGGGTGTGAGAACATTGAAGGCACAGGTGGCCTGCAGCCCCATTGCACCAGGCCTAGTAATCGGCATCAGGCACGGACACGTGGACCTGAAAGGAAAGGGCTGTGGAGACCCTCAACAAAACCTCAAGCACCCCGTGACCTTCGAGACTGCCGTGTAGCCAGTGCTGGAGTCGGCAAGCACTATCCATCCTGATGTTCTTTAGGAAGTCGTGATTGTGCTCAGCATGGGTCGTGCTTAGGTGAGTTCCTGGTGGCTTCGCAAGACGGCCCCAGACTTTGCCACGACCACCGCGTATTGCCTGGCAAAAAATCCGTTGTGCAAACACGTTCTGCAACACTCTATGAGATAGCTTCATGCGATGCCAAGCAAGGCCTGAAGCACACGGATGTGCTTCCCTGAACGGAGCGTCTGCAGGACTTGTGCGGACGCGGTTGCAGCCACGTGCACAGCCTGCCACATGGAAGCTTGTCGCTGACCACAAACAAAGCTGAATGAAGCGCCGCTTCACACGGAAGACATGCTGCCAGCAGACCACTTCGTGCTCTGTGCGACAATCTCCCAACCAGTCCTGGCTGTGAAAATTGGACACCCTTGAAGCGCAAATGAAGCAGCTCATGCAACACCAGCTGGTTACATCCACGAACGCCTGGACATGCTGACGCTCTTGAATCCAACGAGCTGCACAAGGATCTATTAACAGCTACTGCAGTGCACAGCTTTAGGAGAAGGTGCAACATGCGCAACAATGGGAATGCTGAGGGGCCTGTGCCGACCTTCCGCTGGCCTGACTTTTCTCTGTTGCCTTGGATGTGTCACAAATTTGCTTCATGAAGGCGTTTGTGCATGCTGGGTGCGACTAGCATCCTGATGTGCCTATCACAATGGCCAACTGGGCTTCACAACCGTCAGCGTGAAGAATTTTTTGATTTTTCCCTGCAAAGCATTCTGCCATGAAATCGGCTCAGAGCGCACACAGCAGGCCTCTGTCCGGATTGGCTTCGTCGCAACCTGCTGAAGCCGCCTGGCAGCAAGACAGGCTTCCGACCATCTTCTGTTCTTGGAAATGCACCTTAGCAATTGCGACACCGGCGTTCGGGCTGTGGACTGAGTCCTTGTGGAAGACTTTGTGCTGTTCCGCCTCAGATAAATGATGATTGGACACAGCTCACAGCGGCTGCACTGACGCCGCGGCCGTGCGTTCGGAGATGGAACGGGGCCTATGAAGCCAGCAATCATCGCACGGTAAGCTTTCAAGCCTTTACTCCGCCCAACCTGACTCCTCCTCTTCTGCAGACCTTGGCCAGGACATCTCAGAAATCATCTGGGGTGCGCCTCGAAGCCTCCGCTACAAAGCCCTTGAAGAACGGCAGGTTGCGTACCCTTGCTTGTGCTTTTACAGCTTTTGTCAAATGTCAGGTCTGGGGAAGGAAAGACACGAAAGCCGCCCGCTAGTAGATTATTAATTAAAGCCTTTGTAACAAGTAGCGGTGTGGCCCCCCCCGGATCCCAGGCAACCTTAGATCAGGGCTCCTCATCCTCCGAGTCGTCCGAGGATACCTGGACTACTCTCGAGCTGCGCTGCTCCGAAGCCACCCACTCCGCAGCTGAGGCTGCCGCAAATGCTCCAGCTATGTTGCCTGCCAAGCAAGGATCATGCTGTCATGGCCAGAATGCCGCAAGGCTGTGGAGTCGAAAGAGCAGAAGGCGCCAAAAGACCTTACAGCTGCCATCGATTGCCAATAATAGTCATGCCCGCGTCAAACACTGAACCCCCTGAAGACTTGCGTGCTCGGCTTGAACAGCCCGTGATAATTCAGCCCGGCGAGTCATGCCTGTGCTTTGGCGCCGCCGCCGCAGCTTCCGTCGGCGCCCACGGTTACAACGCCTTTCTGGCATCCCCTTCCCAAACAGAACCGACATCCCATTCCAAACACAACTTCCAAAGCCTGCGCAGGAGGTCTATCACTATGTACACGATGGCAAGGCCTTGGCTAATCGTGGGCAGCACTGTTCACGTGCTTGGGACAGCTTGCTACTGCTACCGTTGAATCTATAACTCGTCATCACATGTTTCATCCAGTTGAGAAGGATACTCCTTGCAGCTTCGATGGTGAAGACAGCTGCCAGTGAAAAAAGTTGATGGATGTAGCCCAGAGTAAGCTCTCATCTGCCCCATTCCATGGCATAGCTTACTATGCCTGCACAAACTACAGGCATACAAGACCTGATGCAGTAATGATGTCTGACACTTGATGTGTTCAGAAGCCATTCATTGCATCACTGCTGCCCCACTCGGATTGCGCGCTTGTCAAGCAGAGGTCATCTTAGTGAATCAAGCTGATACTGTTCGCTTTTCTCAAGACACTCAACACCGAGTAGCACGAGCAATCAAACCACCACATGCTGTCTCTACGCCAACAAACGTTGCAGGCTCTGCACTCACCCTGAGCCCCGTGCCTATAAGAACAACATGCCCGATAGCCTCAGGCGTCTGAGCACAGGAGCGCTGAGAGCACAAACTGCTGCTTTCATTTACGCACATGAAGTCCTGGACAAAATTCAAGAGATGTGAGCAGAAGTGCCAGGATCCATGCGAAAAGGTTGAGGATGTTCATCTCACTCAGGGAAGCCGCGTCCTGGCGCAATTGTTTCAAGGATTCGCGCCACACTCAGCACAAACCCCAAAGCAGATAAGGGCGGCTGCTGTCGCATTTCCCGTGCTTTGCCCAATTCCTGCCTCAAAGGTTATCATGGAACACCATCAGACTCCAGCTGTTGCTGGCAAGATTCCATCAGAAAAAAGTTTCAAAAATGAGACACCTTGACTCTACGTACTACAGCCAGCGCACTAGGCTCCAAACTACCAACTCTGTGGACAGCTGGTCATCGCTTGCCAGCAAGAACCCAAAGTAGCAGTTGCTTGCCTCTGTATGCATCTTGCATTCGGCACTCTGTCACTTTTGCCCTCTGCCACTTTTGCCTCTTCAACTCCGAAGCTTGTAGGCTACTAAGGCACTTGCGGTGATGATGGCCATCAACACAACCTTCACATGCCAACTGATGGCCAGCTTGCAACTGCCATAAAATGACCTGCAACTACATTCGGTGCGACTTGATGTTCTGCATGCTCCTAAGACAGCGTTGCCGCTGCCTTGCGACCAAGAAAGACATTCACTCGACGCTTAGAAAAAAAATCACTTGCGACATTTCGGGTCTTGCTATTTGTGGGACCTTTTCTAAAAGGTACGAATCCTTGAAGATGCCTTGTGGCACGGTCCAGGGCTCATGTAAGCACTTGCTGCTCACATACCGCCAAAGGTTAGGCACAAAATCTCTCTGCCCTATTCATGTAGCCCAGGCTCTCAGGAAAAGCCCCGACATTTCGGGTCTGGGTATAAGGGTTTCTGTGTGGCGCTATTCTGGGTGGACATGCTTTAGGGCTTGCGGCATTCAGAGCTCAGGAGATTCTACGTTTAGAGGTTAGAGGATCTAAGATTCCAGGATACGGGAGAATTTGAGCCTTTCCGAGTCCTCAAGGTTTAAGCGTTTTAGGCGCTAGGAATCTAATTTTCTGCGCGGACGCTTTTTCAAGGTTTTCAGGATTCAAAGGCTTAAAAAGTTGAGGCTTTTGGTAACTTTAGTGAATTTAGGGTTTAAGGTTTTTAGGCAGGAGTTTTGGGGCGTAGGGATCTCCGAGCTTAGAGAGCTTGAGGGTTGACATGTTTTAAAGATTAGGGATGTCAGGGCTCAAGGGAGACTTAAACTGTTAGTGGTTGGGCCTTTGCTGGTGCTTTGGGTTTGGAGGCTTGCATTTTCGGCGTTCTAGGGTTCAGCTGATTAGGATTTGGGAGCTTTAGGATTTGGAGGCCCGTCTCAAGGTTTGAGCCTTTGGGACTTCAGGGGTCTGTGTGCTTAAGGTTGTTTAAAGGATTTAAGGTTTGAGACATTCAAGGTTTCAGGACCATACTGACTATACTAAATGTAGGCTTTAGCGGTCTTGGAGTGCGGTGGTCTGTTCGTGGTGCAGGGTTTTTACTGCTTTGCGCCCCCACTTTCCCAGAAACACGGGCCATCAACGGGGCTCGGATTGTGTTGAAAACAAGCAATAGGCCACTGCCAGCACTGCCACCAAAAGTAAGAGCAAGCACACGATTTGACCCAAAGGCAATGCGCAACAAAACACAAGCCCAGCGTAGAAAAAAGATGCAAGCATGTGATTGTTCGCAGTTCCAAGGCATGCGCGGCCGGCATGAGCAACGGGCCGAACCTGGCAATTGCAACACAAAACACTGCTGAAGTGTTCACTAAACAGAGAATCCCCACACACATGCATGCACAACAGCCCCACAGAGCGGATGAGAAACAGTAATTCAGCAGCATGTCTGAGGCCGATGCTCCTGCTGCATCTGCCGCGGCGCATCCTGATGGAAAGCGGAAATCCACGCATCTCACCCTCAAGCCGGCCTTGAAGCAAAGAGCACCAAAGCACACTGTCTTCCAACTCTCCCCCCCAAAACATGGTATAGTTGCCAAAGTCAACCGGCTTTAAAACTTTATTCAAGTCACTGGAAGACCTATATTGAACAAATTCCATCATGTAAAAAAAACTGCACTGTTGGCTCTGCAACCTTCAACCTTCCTTTCTTAAAATGCAGAGATCTACAAGTGCTCCAACGTGTTGAAAACGAGGCCCCTCTTCTGTAGGAACCTGAAGATTTTTTGATGGTCTCAATTTACAGCAAATGTGGCTTCAACCTCTAGCCCTAAACACTGGGCCAGGCCACAGCAAAAAGGGCCAAGTCAACCACCACTTGATGGGACCCGGGAAGAAAAACCAAACTGGGTTCTGAGGGATGTTCAACCTGGAGATTAAGCGCCAAAGCTATAACAAGCTATCCTAGAATGCTCCTGCAGTTTGAGGTTGAAAAGCGAGGTCTCCAACGTCTCCACCAGTCCTGCCCGCATACGACTTGCCAAATAGTTCCGCCCGAAATCCAGCCCGGCAATGCCCGTCCAGCAAAGTGTTCGAAGCTAGAATTGAAATAGTCGAACACTGCTTCGCTTTGATCGGCGATGGACTCACCCAGGCCGTCTATGAGGCTGCTGGTGACCTCAGATTGTGAGTCACTGGTACTGACTGGTCACTGCTTCAGTGCGTCGGTGGCCCGCCTCGGCATGTGCACTCAGACTTTTGCGCTGGGCCTGGGTGCCCAAGCAAACGAGAACTCCGAAAGAGAGATTCCAGGGGTGTGGCAACTGTCGCGACAGGAAACAACATGATCATGTCGTGAGTTTCGCGAGACAGCCCTGTTTAAAGTTGTCAGCTTGGTGGTCGCACCTGCACCGCCTCCATGTACTGGCTAACCTTGCGTGCGAAATTTCTTGAAGAAGTCGAAGGAAGTTGGGACGCTCCACCATGCCTTTGACATCTTTGACTCGATTCCCTTGATGGAGGCAGTGGTGGCCTCAAACTGTGTGAGCACCTGGCCAGACACAGGGAAGAAGACAGTTCAGGGACTCCTTCTTCTCTTTTGGCAACTGAGTGCCAGGCCTCATCCACCTGGACGCTAACCCCAGTATCGGTATCAGAGCAAGATATGATTTGGCATGCGGGATCCGAGAGAGAATTGGCACGTAACTGCATTATTCCTTCCAGATCTGTCATCACTACCATCCTGGATCTTGACCACGAAGCAACGCAAGCTCCCTTGACAACTGCAAGCTGCCTGCTCCCTGTCCATCGAATGACCTCAAGCAACAGGAAACTGGCACCTTCGAGACCTTTGTCAAGCTCTGTGGGGCTGTGGCTGACCCCCATCTCCACAGCTTCCAAATCCAAGGCTGCATGTTACAGCATGAAGCTCGTAGAAGACAATAAAAGCCAGTTCAGGACTGTGCTTCACAGTATACTGTGTTCAGAGATCTGAAACACATCGGCCCGACTCACTGAAGCTTTAAGGGATGTCATGGAGCACAACGAGATCTTTGAGCTTTACAGGTTGCAAATATTCAGAGGATGAGTTCTGCATATCTCATGTGCCTGTTGGATGCTGCCCAACGCTTGCAAAAGCCTCGCAAACCCAGACGCTGCAGACCACTGCCAAAATGCGATGTAAAACTCTTAGATACAGTCTCCCTGTAGCGCATGTTGAATACCCATCGCAGTTGCCTGCATTGGGCTGCAACTCCATGAGCTTGGAAAATTTGTCTCTTCTACGTAACGATCATGATAGGAAGGAAACATCTTGCCATGACCAGGACTGTAGTGTTTTCAGAGACTGCAGTCCATGCAGTCGGCATTCACGTACGAAAAATGCTTAGGGATGCGCTCATGCTCTTTAGTGTACCTTGCCTAGATTCTAGATTGACAACAGTGGTGCATGGCACGTGCAAAAGAGATCGGTAAGACGGATTGCAAACAAAGAACTTGTAGACGCTGACGCAGACCGAACACGAAGGTAGTAGACAAGCTTGGCCAAACTGAGGGAAGCACGCTTAGTTGTAATTTGTTTTGCTTACTTGTAACTTTGAGGGTTTTGAACTGGATTTAGTTGGTTGTAGCTTTTTTTTGCTTACTTGTAACTTTTTTCGTGGCGTTTCCCCACGAAGGATGCCAAAACCTTTGCTTGCGTGTAATTTTTTTCCGGCCTCAAACTGCGAGCGCTGTGAAATACAGCATTCGCGGTCTGTTACAGGCTTCAAGCAAATTACAGCCTGCTCAGGGTTTAAGGCTGAAGACAAATATGCAACACCCCCTCACCCGTATCATTATAGTTCCCCTCAAGTAGATAGGTTATGGCTTTGGGTATATTATAATAAGATCCCCGTATACCGGGACTGTATATTCTCACCTAGGGAACGCCCTCTTAGTTTCGGG